ATGAATGACGTTCTAGGTCACAATATGCACTGCTAAGAGACAGATAAAAAGAAGAGCTAAGCTGATCTAATGACCACTCTCTTTACGTGTCATTTTCGTTAGAATTGCTGACATACAGCAGGAAAATTTTGAGCCTTCCACAACAGGTATTAATAATGAAAATTCTTTTATACAAGTAATGAGCCAGCAGAGTACCAAATCTTTAACTTTATTGGTCCTTCCTGCCAAAACTTTTCACAGTTTCCTCACATGCCACTCATCCATGGCGTACCCAGCATCACTTATTAACTACTGAGATGTCAGCTCCTACCTCCAGTTGACTCATGCCAAAATTCATCATCTACATGTTAAATTTTAAAATAAACATCTTTCTTGGACTCGCTTCCATCTGGGGAATTCATCCCCGAGGGTACCTTCCAACCCACTTCATTATCCTCTTTTTTTTTTTCATTATCCTGAAAACTATGAAACAATTGACAACTGCTAGGCTGTTGGAATGCTGCAACCACCGCTCCTCATTTTAATGAATAGCGTCTCACCGTTTCTCTCAATTTCTCTCCTATGTCTCTCCATCTACTGTTGCTTGCCCAATGGAAATCTTTTTATTTTGCAAGGGAAATCTTTTTATTTTGCAAGTATATAATATTGTAATGGTCCATAGCTAGGGGTTCTAAGTGTTATAATATAGAAAATAAATGAGCAATAAAAATCCAGTGATTCAAGGAAGTAAGCACTTTGACATGGTATTTCTTGTGCCTCCTTTATTTAGACTCAGAGACTCCACACATTTTCACTTATTGCCTACTGTCGCATCAGTCATATCAAGAAATGTGGACAAAGCAAAGTATTCGTCAAATTTTCTGCCGAGATGCTCAAGCCATGCTCCAGAGGACTGTTGTTCGCCCTTGAGGGAGCCAAAAAGCAAGAAGTGGACTAAAAGCTCCTTTTGGCTATTCAACAGTAAAACACATTCACAGACCCTCCAGGATTCATCTTTCCAAAGCAAAGTCTTCTCGTTACTTCTGCCTAAGAACAAGTGCTTTTCAGACACAAAAGAGAGTATTATTCTTTCTGTTAATGACACGCGACGGTCCGACTGAAAACAAGCACGTGATATTCTCTGCCTATATTAAGAATAAATATTCATCAAAACATAACAGTAGTGTTGCATTGCTGACTCCATTTTTTGCCAAATTCTCTCAGACTTGAGGCGCCTTCCTTCTATCTCAGATGAAGCCCAATCAAAAATACCTTATTAAGAAAGAATTTGCAGATACTCAAAAGTCTACATGGCTAACTAACTTAGTGCGTTCTACAGATTGTCTGATTGGAAATGGCATATTTTAACTAATGCAAAATTTTAAACATAATAAAGAGTGTACTCTATTTTTCTCAAAAAATTTAATTGCAGAATTATTTACAGGAGATGAACATAAAGAATACATAAACCAATTGAAGAGGCAGCTTCATAAAAGAGCCATGGGGCAAAACAGTGAAGCACATTTTCTTACAATCAGCTGGAGGTGAGTAAAGAACCATGGAAAAAGAATAACTCAATAATAAAACAATTCTCAAATATGTCTCCAAAATAACAAATAACATTCTGATAAAGAAGATATTACTGAGAAGCGAGAAATTATTGTAGCAATGAAACAACATACTGTACATTCAATTTAGGTATCCTGCATGCTACTAAATAGAATTTATCAAAAGAACCATAAAAGCATGAGAAAGAGAATTACATAAAATAGTTTAATTCTAGTGAAGTGTAGCTTTATACAGATGGTGAATATTTGGCACTCAGTTCATCCTCGTTGTTGATATGATTTCTTATGTATATATTTATTTATATATATTTATATATACTTTTAATGATAACTAAACAGCTAGTTTCCTGGTTCTAACATTCCTTGAAATCTATAGGAGGCATTTAATTTAGTCCTTAGGCCACGCATTTGTTTATTTTGGCATGTCGAATGGTAAATGAATGAGATTTGTCTCTGTGCAGAAAATCCTGCACTCTCATAGTGGCTTTTCTTCAGGAAAGAACAGTTCTAGAGCAGTGTAAGCCAGGCTTCTTCAAAGGGAAATATTGTTAATTCCCTAAATTAACATCCAGGGAGTTCTAAAGAACGCATATATTTGTGGAGCCCTTTCAAAATGAGTTGGCCATACTCTTGAACCTCCACAGGGTAAATCAAAGCATGGATATGAACATGTGGATTCCACCGGTAATTATAAATAATGCTTATATTTCTTTGTGAAACCTACAGTCAGAGACCTGAACCTTCTACCAAGACCTCTGCTTTACTGTGACCAACGTGAAGGGAAGCTCGACATCCTACAGAACAATTATTCAGTAGCCAACTCTCACAGTAAGTCCTTCCTACCTCAGCAGGGCTTGCCAAGACACGTGTTGACCTGAATTATAGTGGACCTATCTGACTTTTCCCTCCAATTTCATTGTGTTAGATTCTTTAACGTTCTAATGCAACTGAGATCAGAATGCAGACCAAAGCTCTGCAATGATTCGTCTCACAAGGAAACAAGTTTAACAGGTTAGCTTTAATAATGGAGAACACTGTGCTGAATGAGAGAAGAATAAGGAAAGGAGAAGTAAAGTCCTCGCTAACAGGCTGTGCTGGTGAGTAATGGCCATACATTCAAACGTCCCCATCATTTAATGTTAGTGAAAATATTCATGTTTTTGTATTAGTATTTGTATTATATTTGTATCTTGTACTAGAGACATAAAAAATCCTTTTCAACAACACCAATTTAGAAAAATAACAGTTTGGCCTTAATAGAATAGAGAAATAAATTGCCAGCTGATGAAAACTGTTCTGGGTTTGCTCAGTTCAGGTGCAAACTCTGTAGACACACCAATTAACATTATCTATGATCTGACTTCAGAAGCCCCATTCTGTTTCATCAATGAATGCTAATGGTAGGAACATCCACATGTGGAAAGGTGGGCCCACGAACAAGCAGTCTTTTACTGCGATCATAATTTATGAAATGCAATATACGCTTAATAAGAAGGAATCTGGAATATGGTTTATATATAATGAATGTCACGGCCTCTTGCAGCTATTAGAATTTTATTTTGTTAAGGGGAGTTGAACCAACCTTAATATTCTGTCCAAATTCTTTTTTGGGCAAGTTTCCATTTCAATTTCAGTTTTATGGTTGCTGTCCTGAACAGCCTATTATGTAGTTAAACAGCTGCAGCATTACACCACAGAGGTAGCTGCATTACAAAGAAAAATTAAGCAATTTCTGTGTATACAGAGGGCTGAATTCTTGCCAGGAGCCTGTGTATGCATATGAGTATGCCATAAAACAGCTGTTCCCAAAAGATGTTCCCTGAAGGTGAACATGGTGCAGATGGGCCATGGGACGTGGCACACTGGCAGTGCCGTAGCCAAGCTGCAAGGATGAGACACGGTCTGCAAGAATGTGATTATTGACCGTGGTTCCTGGTTCCAACTATCTGGGAACTCGAACACTGAAAAATTATTTTTTATATCTATATATATGTATATATACTTCAGTTCTCTGCAGCGTGAAAGAGCTGCCTCTAATCTGCCCCTCCTCACAGTTCTAAGAGATGTCACCATTGCTCTGTTGTACAAAGGACGCTTAGAGTTAGAGCTGAGCACTGCTTCAGAGCAATTGCCCAAACCAAAGCATAATCTTATGCCTAATTCCTTCTTGTGCTCCATGTTAAGCTTGGCTAGAGGGAAGAAGGGGAGAGAACTGGGCACTTGGAAGTTGTGGAATACACAAAGGCTGCTTTTGCACTGCACGCCCCAGGCCCATCTCTCTGGCCAAAAAAGCTGTGGAGGAACGCACTTGTGAAGGAGAGGCTTACTAAGATCTCGGAGGAAGGGCTCAGCTCCTGCACCTGTTGATAGATGCACCCTCCTGGTGGAGCTCCTTCATCACCACAACCTCACGCCATCATAAACAGAAAAGGCAAAGGTTGTTTCGGAAACATGATTTGATTAAATTCTGTCCCTGCCTACAAGATCAGCATTGCTCTCTCCTCTCCTCTGCTTTGCTCAGGTTTTCCTCCTGGTTCATCGAGTCTCACTACCTATTTGGCACAGGTGTGGACCAGGAGAGTCTCTAGCTGCTAGGAGGGTGGTGTGGAAGGAAACTCCCTGGCAGCATGGGGGCAGGCAGGAGGGCCCTCATGCCCTCAGCTCTCCAGGCCAGCATCCAGGTGTGGGAAGGGGAACTGCCTGCAGGGAGCCCAGCCTGGAGTTTGCATGTCCTCTAATAAAGTGCTTGGAGATCCTTCTGGATGAAAGGCACTGTGTAAATGTAAGTATCAACCTGCTGGCCACCAAGAAGCACCTCTCTAAACATTGAAGGCTTTACTGATACTCCTCACCTGGAATGTAGCTCACCAGTGCCATCACCACAAGGTAATTGCTCTGGGAATAGCAGTGGGAGTAACACCGCCCCATACTTCATTCCAACACTGCCTCATACAAAAGCTCCTGCTCCAAGGGATGTCACAGCTTTTCAGCACACACTCCTGGGCACCCGGAGCTACCAGCCCAAACTCAGACCTTGTGTGATCATGCACGAAGCATCCCCTGTTGGGTTGGCATCTGATGCGTCCCCAGCTTTGGTGCCATAATGCCAGTGGGGACACCAAACCCACAGACTGGCCTGGGCGAGCTCCAGGGACTGGATGCAATGGCTGAGACGGGTGGATCTGGGGGGATTCACCCCATGGATCGCAGCAGGGCCTGCAGAGACCGCAGGTCACTTATGGCACACAAACACTTAGGGAGAAAGTATTCTCCTTGCAAAACCACCAAATGACCCCGATTTCCCTCGCTTTAATCTAGACGTAGTGCCAAAGGAGTAGAAACTAGGTTATTAATTTACTGATACAGCAGGAAACATAAGCTTATTTTAAAACAAATAATTTCTATTATATGAAATGTACTATATAGACAGGAAATCCACACAGCTTCCTATGCACGCTTTAATTCCTTCCTGGTTATCTCAAGTCTAACATAGTGACAAGGTATAAGCATAAATTAAAATGTAATTTTTTGGTATTAAACTATACAACATGATTAGTCTTTGCACACTGCCAAAGGCCATTCCAATCAGGTCAACAAGAAATAATAAAACACTCCATAATATACTTCACCAATTTACAAAGAATTTCAAATCTGAAAAAAAATGTACAAAGCAAAATAAGTATGGCAGATACCAACAATTTCACCAGTCAGGTTTTTCTTTATTTAAATCTTCACAATTCTGTTTATTATACTTGTGTTTTACAGGCAATGAAGAAATGAATGGAGACTTTCTATAATTTTAATCAGTGAAAATAAGTATTAGTCCAATTAGTGTTCAATTAAATGCTATTTCCAGCTGTTCTGTGTGTATGCACTCCATGATGTCCACTAGCAGAAAGCATTCTACTTTCTCTGTTAGTGTTTAGTTATGTTCCTCCTATGCTGGTTTTGTAACTGAATCTTATTTTGATGCTAGGGAGTCAGATCACAGTTGATCTGTTAAGATCATGTTAAGGTACCATGTGCTGTGTTTCTCACATTGGGGACCAAGGCAATTTGATTTATCTGCAACACAAGTATGATAAGCATAATGTTATTTTTCTAAATGAACCGGATGTACAATATGTAGATAGAAATGGCTTATCTGCCTGTAATGATAGAATGTTACCTGTAGAAGAATTTAATATATTGCACTTTGAAATATAACATGCACAGATAACATATTATCAAATCTTTCAGTAAGCATCTAATTTGCATCTAATTTAATTTTGATTCCTTTTTTTTTCTTTCTTCTTTTTTAGAACAAAGGTGGAACAAAAAGAAATCACACATATCCAAAACTTATATTGAACATATAAGTAATGGCATGGGAAATATGGTAGAATACAGGGTTGGCATCATTTCTGCAGGCCTATTTTTGCCTGAGAACATCCAATATCATGGTAACATATAAAAATCACCAAAATATGATTCTCAATTAAAAACTTATATGGACTGCTCCAAGTCAGCATTATTAAGTCAACTGGGATCTAAATAAATCTATAATCTTTGTGGTTTTTTTTCACCATATGTCTCCATAAGGTCTAGTTACCAGCAGGATCAGATTTAACTTGTCTTAATAGCACAGCATGACCTGTCCCTGCAGGTGGGGGTTTTCAAGCAAGTCATGTGTGAAGCAAAAGGGAAATCAGAGAAAACGTTATCCGCTGCCATATATGTATACAGCAGCTATAGATACAGATATGTGTGTGTGTGTATGCCTATTTCAAATTTCCTTAATCTAGGAAAGGCTCTAGTTTTCTGTGGATACTTCTAATCAGCAGCTCCACATTAAATAACATATTAGTTTTCAACACTAAAGATGCCAATGTCTGCAAGTACATTTGTGTTTAAAATAGTGAAACAAATATAGGAATTAGCATCAATATTGTACCCTACCCAGAATTCAGCTCTTTCCTTAATAGAAAATGCCTTGAAAACATGAAGGATGGGAAAGACAATGCTTTTATCTATAGAAGAATATTTCAGGGATTTTTTTCTTTTTTTTTTTTTTCTTTTTTTTTCATTTTTGAGGGATATACATTCGTCTTGGTTTTTGCTTCCAAACATAGTTTAAGGCTATTTGGTAAAGTATATACCAGATATCAGGCTCGATTTACAGGGCTTTCTCCTCACAGAAACATCTCAAAACCTCATCTCTAAAGATTCCCATCTTGAAGCTCAACACGCTTTATCAGGTGTGCTCCAAAGACAGAACTCATGCTTCATACTACACACTGTAGGAAAACAATGAAGGAAAAGGAAAAGAAATAAATAGAACCAAAGCAAAACAGATTAGAAGCAATGTCAGATCTGCATAACCTATGATAATTCACGTTTTCAGTCATCTGTCAGGCTGCAGGGTGTGTGGGACGTGGATTTAAAGTGCTCATCAGGTGAAGAACCAAAGTGCTAGAGTATAATTTAATAGCTGTTCTGCCTATGGCTAAATACATTAAATACATTGCATTTGTTAAAGCAGGTAAACAGGAAATGTAGATGCGGCTGTCTGTCTCGGTGTGTTAACGCTGTTTTGACCTAAAGTAGTACAGAGGAGCTTTCAAACCTTGCAGTCGGAGTCTCTGGGTTACATATCTTATTGCGTCTTCACCTGAAGACTTCTAAGTGCTGGGCTGCTCGGGTGGCTCTGGAAGGTAGGTGAAGTGGAACATTTCTATCTTAGTTTATTTTAAACCAAAGCCTCTGGATTGTGGTAGTCACCACCTCTCTCGTAATAGTGAGAGGCTTGAAAATACATTATTTTCCTTATATTCCACGGCTGGAAATCAATTATCTCTTGAATCATGTTTGTTACATGTGAAGCAAGCAAGAAGCTTTTTCTTGCTGTAACTGATACTGCATAGAAAAATAGTTCTAAAAAAAATACAACTGTAAACCACAGTTCACCTTTACCTTAACATAACCATTTAAACTTAGATTTACTCACCACTCACATTCATATTTCTTAAACTGTTTACAACATCACAACTGGCATTTTAAACAAGCAAGATTTTTTTTTTTTTTCTCAAGGATACCCTGGAAACTCAATTGATAGAACATTTTGAGAGTTTGAAGTATTACACGTAGCGCAGCTCTTGAAATAAAAGGGAGGATCATGAAACGAACATTAACACATAAAAGAACTGTTAAAAATGCGATGAGTGTTCCAAAGGAGTAAGTATAACTTTTTCTTTACACATCTTGCTACAGAAGATCTAACTTTTTAAGGCTTCCATTTTCCTTTCACCCATCACTCAAGTCCTCTTGCATTATAATTTTGCTTAGGTTTCAGAGTGTCGATATACTGCTAACAGCAAACGTTTCTCAGTGGGCATTCCCAACACCACCAGACTTGTATGCTTCTTGGTTTCTGATGAACTTTGGAGTTTTAGTGGCTGGATATCCCTGTTCATCTCCAGAAACGTGATATGACATGAGAGGCCTAATATTATTCTGCGGTAACAAAGATGAGAAGAGTGGCAGAGCACATGGGTAAATATTTTAGCTGGGTTCTGGGAAAAGAAACTGGAGGTCAGAGAGATAAATGGGTTCTTTCTTTCCTGCTCTTTACGTTTGTAGCACCTTCTACTTGGATTAGCTAATGCCTCTAGTGAATGGTGAGATGCACCCATTGATAGTTTGTTATTCTTATCCCTAATTATCACACATTTTATAAAAATATAAATAACAAAAAAGTAAGCTGGGTTCCATCTCAAGAGGTGTTTCTTGTTGTCCTCTGAGAATATACTGGATAAGTCAGGTCTCAACAAGCCCTATCCATTGTAGCTGATTGTAAGTCAGACAATAAATACAAAAGAAGTCGTTCTTGCGGTGAGCTCAGCAAATTCTGAGGAAATCAAAAGCATTCCACTGTGCTTATGGCACAAAGAACACAACAGCAAGGGCATATTTATGGAGAGAATGAGACAAAAATTACCAGGTAAGTGACAAACTGTACAAGCATTTTGTCTAAAAAAGGAACTCTGCAGCATTCTGTCTTTAAAGCCGGGTTTGAGCCTCTGGGATGTATATCTCGATGCTGTCTGCACGCTCTGTGGCTGAATTCTGCCGGAAAGAGGCCGCCCTCTTAGCAGCCATGAGCCGCCTTCTGGCTTCTTGTCGCTGCCTGTCAGGTAGGTCCAGAGATTTTTCTCTTGTGATGGGGAATTTTCCTTTTGGGGGCTTCTTTGGTACAGGAGGAGGAACCTTTCTTTCTTCCTAAAATAGGGTATTAAAATAGAAGGTAAATGGCGTGCGGAAGATACCATCAGCAGAACATGCAAATCAAAGACATACAGTGCCAAATACTCATTACATACATCAAGCATGCTCGGTTTCTGCTCTAAAATCAGGTGATTAATGGATTGCGTGAATGGCTATCCATTCCAGAAACACTGACAAAAACCTGTTATTTCAGCACAAAATCTGTAGTCCTGTGCCTTAAAAAAGACTAGGCTTCCTTTCACTGGCCTTGCAGATATCCTACACATGCAGTCTACGTACCTCACTTTCACGTGAATTTGCTCAGTTTTCTCTGACACATTATTACACTCATTATAAACAGAAACACACACTGGCTCTCCAATAAGAATGCAGCGCATCTGTGTGGTCTGATCAAGTGAAAAGACTGTCTAAGATTAGCAGGATGTAATTTTTAATTAAATTAATCATACTGAGTTTAGCCTCAGCTGGATACGAAATAGCAGCTGTGTATACATATCTATTAGTTTAGTCTCCTCTATGGATTGCTAAATGGAAGCATGCAAGCACCAGCCAAAGAGAGAACATAAGTTAATTGTTCTCCTTGCCAGCCTGGACCGTTTTAAAGAAAATTATGCTGAAGAATTGGCAAACTACAAAGCAAGAGTCAATAGATGTGCTATCAAAGTAGCTGCCAATGGCTTATACAGGTTTTATATCAAGAACTATTTTGAGATATGAAATTGATATTGTACTCCATTTATAGACTGTGGAATATCATATAAGGGCCTTGAAAAGATATTGTAGAAGCACAGAATCATATAAAAGTTTAGGTTGGAAGGGACCTCTGGAGGCAATTCATTATAACATTCCTTCAAAAGCCACTTGAAATTAGATCCAAGGTTGATGTTATACCAGGTTTTTCAACATCGTGTTTAATATTGGCCAAATATCTCCAAAGATGGAGAGTCCACAATTTCATATGTATAGTGTGATTATTATAATAATCTTTCTGCTGGATCACTTCTTACAGTAATTGTAATAGTCCAAAGTATGGGCTGTTCCTTATGGAGAACACAGTTAATTTGAGGCACAGCAGGATTCAAACAAATATAAAAAGGTGAACTGCAGAATCATCTTTTTTTTTTTCTTTCTTTCTTTTTTTTTTAATTCTGAAAATTCTGAATCTACTACCAAAATGCATTAGCCAAGACTAGAGTTAAATTTATTTAAGAATATATTTCAACATTCCCAACTCAGCAAAACAGTGCATCAGCCTAAGTTGCTATTCTCCATGATAGACAGCTCTCCCAGTCTTTATTTTCTCTTCTTCCTGTTTTTAGACAGGAACATAAGGGCTCCATTCCTGCTGTCCCATCTTATTATTTTTTCACTTTTACTTATTTTCCTCTTAGGAACATCACTGTTGCTGTCACTATAATAATTTCTTACTTCCAGTTGTCACTAGTAAGCAAGAGTTGCAAACTCACCATCCACCAACCAGTTGGCTGAAAATTAAAATCCAAGAGGAGCATGAAGAAATGAAAGAGTTGTCAAAATGCCTCCTAATTCCTCCCGAACCAAGCAAGAATTCACCTGAGGCCAACAGTACTGACTCAAACCAAATGCTGCCGTCATCTGACTGATAAAATTATCAGCAAGGGTAGTGGGATAATTCGGGTATGGGAAAGAGCTCTGGGAAGGGGAAAGGCAGTTTGGGAATCAAGTGCTTGTAGGCATGGTGCCACGTGCTTTGGAAGCATAGTGGCCAGGGGTATCTCCCAGGCAGTGGGATTGAAACTGAGAAATGCGGGCAGCTGGCCAAAAGCACTCTTTTCCCCCCAGAATTTCTATAGGCCAAACTTTGGCTTGACCAACACCATGTTCTGCCACTTGTACCAGCATCAATTATTTATGCGAGCAGGATTGATTGCTGTAGCTCAGGTTTGAGCTGGCCCAGAAGGAACAACATGCTGCAGTCCATCTTGATTGAATTCTTGGGCTACTGTTCTCAATCTGAATTAGTCAGAACATGTTTCAGTTCTTGGTTTTTTTTTTTTTTTTTTTTTTTTTTTAATATGAAGCCAGATAAATTCAAGAGAAGTTTTATGCAGCGGAGAGACAAGATTTTGCAAAATCCATTTTCTTTGTTAACACAGTTCAGCTCAACATTGTTAAAAGGAAAAACAAACAAACAAACAAACAACCACACTGTTATGAGTGATGAGGGTTTCCATTTACAAGTTGGGCCACAGTCAGCTGTTTTCCTTCTTTGGCTTAGAAACCTACCACATTTCCCTACCGAATTTAAAACATGGAAGCTACAGTACTGTAAATGGGAGGGAAATGGTATTGCCCATGGTCTGCTTACCTTCCTTTCAGGTGATTCTATTATTTTCCATTCATTGAGTTTCAACTGGTGCAGTTCATCAAACTTCATGCTGACATCTTCAATTGAGAGCTGCAATAAGTCCCAGAAACCTGCCAGGTCCTGGGAAGTTGGTCTTGGCATGGCACTCGGGTCCTGTCATGCACAAAAGAGAGAATATGAATAGAGCAGGAGGCTTTAAACAAAGTGATTTGAGGTAGGAAGGGAACTGCCCCAGTTCATTTTGCTGCACTGCTGCTCAGGGCAAAGGCTACATGTGCTCTGCAGCTGTGAGCTGTGACTGAAAAGCTGTGCCTCCCATACAACTTGGGTACAAATAAGTGAGATTTCCTGCACTGGCCTTTCTGGATCTGAGAATCATGGGAAGCCTCTCAACACCATCTGCTGTGCTGACCTTCATTTCTAAAATGTAGCATGCTGACAGACTCTGCCTGCTGATTATTAAATGGAATAGGGATGTGGCTTATATTCTAGGTATACTGAAGTTTTGTTAAAAATTACAGACATCATAGGTAAGTGAAACAACCAAACAACACCGCAAGAAAATTGTCAACTTATGCTGGATTTTATTACGTTTTCCTGGGTTTTCAAATGGACATGTAAGGTAGAAAATCTGGATGGGGATGTTTATTAGAATTTTGTTTCCCATGGGGTAGAATCACGCTCAGTAACTGTGCAGATACTATTCCCATTTACCAAGGTTAGGTAGTTATTAGCTGAATGTCAATGTTGGATAAAAAATTACCTAAAAAATAGTATACAGACTCTGTACCCCATATCTTGAGCCCTGATGCTTGTTCAAGAGGACAAGTTTGTCACTTCAGTGAAGTAGGGTTTAATTGGCAAACATCTCTGTGAAGATGATGGGCAAATGTCTATCAGAGAAGTATGTAGGTCACTCTGAAAGTAAGACCTCATATTTATTTCCATGGAAACTACAACAGTTATAAAAAACACAGTAATACTGTTAGATAGAGCAAATTCTCACCTACGAAACACTATTTTTCAACATAGTCCTCACCACTTTCACTAGCAATGAACAAGAGCTTTCATGTTGCACACTCGTAACAATCTGCACCAGTTGAGGTTATCCACAGTCACTGTTATCCACTCTCCACTGCTGAAATGCACCACCGCCACTTCACTGCGCTCGCATTTACTTTTTTGGTCTCCATAAATGTTCAAAAAGCATTGATGAATGTCAATGGGTGCAATTCTTTCTGCACAGGGAAATTCAGTGACACAACTTTGCTTTCTACGCACTTTCATGTCAGACATCGTCTTGTCAGACTGCCCCTCTGCTGCCATCCGTCACATGACAACAAAATGTAATGGAATATTGGTGGAAAGTTATACGCCTCTGACATCACATGCCAATGTAATAAATCAGGAGGCATTATATTTGGAACAGCCCTTGTAGGTCTACACAGTGGAACTGAGAGTAACACAGTTGAAATCAACCCAAAAATGCTCATAATCTCCTTCCCAGGCCAAAGTTAAAATGGCTAATTTAATAAATAAACAGTGGTGTTATCGACTGAGCAAGGCTCTGTGTCCCATATGCTCAGCATCTAAAGGATGAAGGCATTCTATGCAATGAGCACAGCTTCACATAGTTACCTAAAACCTAGGAAAGAGATAAATCAGCATTTATTTTCCGCTTCTCCCTTGATTTTCATGTTCCTAGGGGTCTTACGGTAGGGACTGCTATTTAAATTTGGATTTCCTCACTGTGGGAGCTGAGTGGCTGGAGCTGGGTATGACACCTTGCCCTCCTGACCCTTCCCCATTTTCACAGGCCTCCTTTGGATGCTCTCTAATATTTTTATGTCCTTCACTTATTGTGGTACCCAAACCTGCACTCAGTGCTTGAGGTGGGGCCACATAGTGCAGAACAGAAGGTGACAACCCCTCAACTAACTGCTGTGCTGGGCCTGGGACACCCCAGGGTATGGTTGGCCCTTTGGTCTGCCAGGGAACACTGCTGACTGAGATTCAACTTGCCATCATCCAGAAGCCCCAGATTCCATCAGGCTGCTCTCCAGCCTCTCATCACAGAATCACAGAATCATAGAATGGCCAGGGTAGGAAGGGACCTCAAGGATCATGAATCTCCAGCCCCCCTGCCATGCAGGACCACCAACCTCCCCATTTAATACTAGACCAGGCTGCCCAGGGCCCCATCCAACCTGGCCTCCAGGGACGGGGCATCCACTGCTTCTCTGGGCAGCCTGTTCCAGCAACTCACCACTCTCTTGGTAAAGAACTCATCCTCCACTGCATACATATAGCCAGGGTTGCCCCATCCCAGCTGTAGAATCAGGCACTTACTATTGTGAAGCCTCATGCATCTGGTGATTGTCCAGCTCTCCAATTTGTCAAGACTGTTAAGATCCCTCTCTCTGCAAGGCCTCTCTACTCTTAAGGGAATCATCAGTTCCTGACAATTTAGTATTGTCTGCAAACATAGTATAACTTCAAGTCCTGTATCCAAATCATTGATAAGAACATTAGAGAGAACTGGTCCTAAACTAGAGCCATGCAGAAATCTTTGCTAGAAAAGCTTTTGTCTAATGGGGAATTTGAGGACTAGTAGTTACTACGCAGATTATAAGAGATTTCTGGAAAACACGATACAACTCTAGATTAGTATTCACTGAAAATGACCATATTGGGTAGATCCCTATTTACTTTAAAAGCACTGACAACATGTGTCAGTGATATTAATTATTCTAGAGAGGTCAATATTACAGGCTTCAAGAACTGACTAGTGTGAAATCTGTCAGCAACATATATTACATTGCAATCTGTTCTCTCCAGTCTGGTCTCCTCAGTCTCTCTCCTCAGTTTCCTCTGCACAGCCAGAAAGTGATGCCACTCGCGGAAATGCCATTGACTTCTGAATTGAGGGTAATTGCTCTTCTGTACCTTTGTGCTCCACTCATCCCTGCTGCACAAGAGCACAGCTTCCAGCGCGGCTGGGAGAGGAGCATGCGGTGCATCATACGGACACAAGAGGGCTGCCTCCTGCTGCTATAGCTTATGGATCCACAGCACATGGATGAGTGCTAGTAAAAATTATTGCTACTACAGTTAACTGAGTTTTGAGAAGATTGGCTTAAAGCTGCTTTTTTTTTTTTTCCTTTTTTTTTTTTTTTTTTTTTCAGAAGTGGCTTCTTTGTTCTTATTGTGTTTGGAATTCGGCTTTGCAGCTCTCTTTCAAAAGGAAGCCTAAAGCAAGCAAAAAGTATTCAGCCGATGCTTGTGTTGCTCTGGTTTTGCCTGCAACCATGACATACTTAGCGATGATCTCAAGAGCTGAGCAGAATGTCTGCTGACTGGAGTATGGAGGAGGACACTTCAAAGAAAAACATTATCTTATAAAAGACAATGTGAATAATTCACCAGGAAGTAGTCACTAATCAGGGATGCTTTTTTTAGTAAGAACTGTATACTGTAAGAGATAGGAGCTCAATTCTTATAAAAAAAAATCATTGAAGCTGGTTGGTTTTATGAATTTATCCTGAATGAGACATCTTAACCAACAGCATCATCAAATGTGATCCTTGAAACTGTTCAGATTCTTTAGAACAATCCATAAGCCATGGAGAAATTTCAATGTAAGCGTGTTCCTCTTCCTAAGACATTGCTGCATTTTTGAATTGGCAAAAGTAGCTGCTGTTCTCTGTCCTATATTTACAGTTACTGTTGTTGAATACTGTTAAAGAAACCAATGTGTTGGAGCCTTGTAAGTGCCAGATGTACTGCAGTAGCTGTTATCTGTGAGCATTCCCATGGAGGACCAAGATGCTGCTGCCAGAGAATATGGAATGTCTGCTGTAGATGTGGGCTAAGTGACTAAGAACAAACACTACTACTACTCATAAGAAGAAAAGTTCAAAACACGAATGAGCTAAAAGTCCAGTTCTGCATTTGTTCCTTTATGCAAAGCCCATTGGTGATTTAAGTGATTGGTGAAAAATACTCAGAGCGCAAATCTCCAAAACGGAGTAAAGCTGCTGGTATGGAGTTCAAAGGTTTATTATCCATATAAGAAGGAGAGAAATAAAATCTTGCCTTTTTTTTTTTTTTTTTTTTTTTTTTTTTTTATAAAGCTGTCTCGAAGTTCTGGATTCCTCCTATTGCTTTTGCAGTAATGACATGCTAAAGCTTCCAAACAGCCATCAGCTGTGCAGAGCAGGAGCTGCTCTTGTTATTACAGTAATGCTCTCAAGCACAATTCCCGGACCCACTTGAAGGAAAAGCGAAGTGGAGAGCAGGTTGGGCTCTCTAAATCTTATTTTGCATAGCTTAATCAGTCAGGAAATGGAGGGAAGTCTGAAATTTACCATATGACAATTTTAGATTTTAAGGAAGATTTCCTTCTTTCACTATCAAACAAATGGAGAAACAGTAGCACATATGATACACTTGATATTACAAACTTGGTCATCTCCTGCTTGCCTGACTTTGCATATTTCCTCTGTCATTCTGTAAAAGCTATTAAAGTTCTTGTTTTGACAGACTCTTTGAAGTGGATAATTGGATTCTTTCCTAATGAGGACCATATATCTTACATTTTTCTATCAGAAGATAGGACATGGTTGGCAAGACTCTCTCAGTATTTGATTACCGTTTCAGGAATTCTAGATATGAAATGTTATGAATGGAAAATAGCACATAAGTCTCTGCAGAATTACTTTTGCCTTAAAAACCTGTGCAGTAAATACTAGCAAATGAGGAAATGTGTCTAATCAGACAAACAGCTTGCATCTGCTGTAATGCATGCAGCAAAATTCAGAGCTTTTAATATACGAGATAGGGACAGTCAAAAGTTACACTTCATTTTCAAGTGAGCCAGAGATTGTAGGTGTTCTACCATCAGACTTAGCTAGAAGCATTATGTTCTTCTATTTCTTAGTATCATCTTGCCACAGCGTTTATATCACTGATGGCTGCTGTCATATTAACGAAGATAACATTTCGAATCAAATTAGTGTCTAATGAACTTCCAGAACAATAGCAGTAACTCCTGCAAGTAATATACTGCATCTGCTCCTTTCGCCCTAGGACATCTTATATATAATTGGCAATGCAAATTATGAAGCCCAATTTTATGAACACTCTGTATGTTCTCATTTCCAAGATCAGTCCCATTTTCAGGTAGGTAGAGAGCTGCATCGTGTCTCCTACTATTCTCTGCTTACTGTAATTTGAAAAACGGCTTTTCTCACCAGAAATACAGTTACTATTTTAGGGTACTACAAAAATAAGCCACAATATTATGTCTAAGAAAACTTGCGTTTGTTCCCTTCTCATCCTTTTTTCTCTTTAATAAGGACAGCAAAAAAAGAAAAGACAAAACACAGATAGTCTAAAATTACTGAAATTACATTTGCTTTGCTAAAAGATGTACTAACACAATACTTAGAGATTAAATTAAAAAAAAAAATAAAAGAGGAACAGCGAGACAAATGTGAGACATGAAAATGAGAATGTTACCATGTATGTACTCTACATTTTCTGTTGTTTTTGCCTTTGAATTAAAAGCATTAAGTTCTACAATTTACAGTTAAATTCTGTGTAATATTAGGTATGAGTACTCATAAACTCTTCAAGAATGGCCAGAGATGGAGACTTACCAGATTTTGCTGACAGAGCCAATAAAACTGCTGGAATTTCTGAGACATGAGGAGCTGAGCACTTCCAACAGCACTTCGGATCTTGCCTAGGACTAAGCACACAGAGAGGTTATTAACAATAGATGTTTTGGCAGCAAAAGGAAATGCCATCTCAAAGAAAATGTAACTGGAATTACAGGTTAGTTTGTAATGGAAATAAATATTTTGCCCCTTCTGATTATCCACATAAAATATTTTTTAAGAGATAGGGATATAGAGAAGCTCCATGTCATCTTTCCTTTTGAAAACAGTAAATGATGTATTAGTAACAAAGAACTACCAAGCCTGTGTTTGCTTAAGAAAGTAGAAAAGAAAAATGAAAGGAATGCACAGAGCTTCCTGAAGTAGGCACATAGACATAAGGTTTTGAGAATAATCTTGAATTCCAATGTAAATAATTTTTTTTTTTTTTTAAAAAAAGCTCAGTGATAAGCATTATCACCCTGATTTTCATTGATTTATTCATTTATTAGAAAATGCATTAATTCTGACCTGACGAAGCACTTAACTGCAAATAATTCAGTAGGACTACTGATGCTGAGACTAGTAAGTCAACACCAAATTTAACAGTCTATCAGCTTTTCTAGATTTATCTCTTATGTACCACCAGGCACAATTAACAAAAGTAACATTACAGACATATCCAGGAACATCACTTATTTTTTTCCTTCAGTATTGTCATTTTATTGTCATTGTATGATTAATGAGTTAATACAGAAATTTTCCTTACTTAGATGCTTAAAATAACCTTACTGCCTTTGCATAATATTCTGTTAAGAACACAAGTAATGCTTTATTTATATGAACCCATGAAGACATTTTCTAAATGCATTACAGACACAGAATAAAAGCCCAATGGAAGCTGGAGCTAGACTTGCTTTTGTAAATTGAGAGCTGTTGAAATACTCTTGCCTCAGTAAGCAGGTGGGTGCCTGTTTCCTGTGATGTCAAAGGGAGCTTTAAATGTACTTTAAGTTACGTCTTCTGATTCTGCAATCAAAAATGGCTTCTATCACTGTGGATGATCCTTGGATGAAGCCTCTTTAATCTGTCTGTACTGCAGAGCAAGGTTAACATGTTAAAATATAATGTAGACCAGACCATAAGGATGAGATCTTTAGAGGAATTGTGTGTCTAAGACATTCTGTGGTAGGGGACATTACGTGTTGAAGGTTGGAAAATACATGAAGACCAAAGCATGGGAGCTTCAGACAAGGGGAGGACAAAAGCTCGTGCTCCAGGACTTTGTTAAATTGTTGAAACCCTCATGGTTTGTTGGACTTTCTGTACTGCCAGTGTACTGGCCATTTACAGTGTGCAGAAGCACTGAGGGAAGAGATCAAATTCATTTTATTTGACTTTGCTTCTAAGAATCAGCTGTCTAAATAAAAATTTCTCTATGCTTTATGAAAGGAAGGAGCTCATCAGCTTGCTCATGTTAGGTACTTATTTTTAGATGAGACGGACCTCTTCCTAATGATCCTATTTCTATTGACTAGAGTGCCTGAGGGAACTGGATTATCTGAGAAAACCAGCTCTTCTTGGACTTCCACATTTTTGTGGGATAAATACCATACTTCAGTTGGTAGCAGTATGCTTTCCTCACCAAATTGCACTTCCTTATGCTGCAAAAGCAACATTTTAAAAGGCACAATAAACTGAGGTCTCAGAGAAAGATTAAGATTTCCGTAAAACATCCAGATCTTTATATAATATTTAGTGGAAAGATATAGAAAGGTAGGTGTAGGGGTGATGTAGTAAATGCTCGTACGTCTTTTATCATAGAATGGTAGAATCACAGAATGGCTGAGTTGAAAAGGACCTCAAATATCATCTAGTTTCAATCCCTGTACAGAGTTGCCAACCACCAGACCAGGCTGCCCAGAGCCACATCCAGCCTGGCCTTGAATGCCTCCAGGGATGGGGCATCCACAACCTCCTTGTGCAACCTGTTCCAGTGCGTCACCACCCTCTGTGTGAAAAACTTCCTCCTAGTATCTGACCTAAACCTCCCCATCTCAGTTTTATGTTGAACATCCTCATCATTTCAGGGAACCAACTTGATGATTAATGAGATGCCTAGGGTTGAATGAAACTACAATAGCACAGCAGAACTGAACTGCAACATTTAATATAGAAACTATTCAATGCTTGCTGAGAGAATCTGAAAGCTTAAAGCTCATTTTCTGTAAATGCATACATATTTCATAACCTTAAAAGCATAGATAAATTTGTTGAGCTGTGGCTCTCAAACTCTATTTTGCTTTCTGTTAGACAAACAGTTTACAGCTGTGCCACAATACTAAATTAAACAGCAATATGCATAATTCATCTGTCCCTTGTGCTACCCATTTCTGAAGGGGTTAAGTGTTTCAGGGCTGCATGAGTAATTCACTGGGGATTTATTTATGTTCAGTTGGCCAAATGAAATAAAACATTTTAATTGGTTTGGGGTTTTTGATCACCAAACTCCTCACTTTCCTCTGTGGAGTTATTGGCTTAGGAAAAGCAATGTTCTGGGTGTTTAAAACCTGTGCAAACACATAGAAATCTAAATAAAGAAGAACTGTTTCCTTTGATCTGAAACAAATTGCTTTCATTGTCTGTCAGAACTTTTAACAAAGGCAAAGATGTATCACCCAGGCTTTATCTTCCTTGTCCCTGGATGTTCTGTAGTACGGGACATAGGACAAACTATCAGGGTGGGGGGTCAGGATCCCTTCTTTCCTGAGATGAGGAATTTTGCCATAGCAGGTCCCTGGCACTGCCTTGCCAAACACTCCATACTCTATTCAGCAGAAAGATTCTGTAGGCCGAGGGATGTAACGCTTGTCTCGCAGGGAATACAGCTCAGTTTTAGCTTCCTCCATTGAATTTGTAGCTCACAGCTCAAGTACAAAGCGTGATAAAAAAAACATTGGTTTTGGCCCTCCCATAGAACCTTGACAGAATCTAGATCTGACTGATATATCCTAGTGAATGTCACCGTTATTCCAAACCCCAAATTAAATAAACATTTATTTGACCTTCATGATCATGAAGGACCACATTAACAGGCACCCGTGATTTAAAGCCCAGGCAGGCCAGAAAAGACTTAGGCACTGTCTGTGCAATGTTTTGTGTGACAACCTCCATTTCAGATGTCAGACACTGTGCTTCCAGGCCATCTGCATGTGTCACCAAGTCAAACCATATGCCATACAAGAGTAGATAATGACAAAACAAGGGGAAATGGTCTTAACTTGAAGGAGGGAAGATTTAGGTTGGATATCAGGGGCAAGTTCTTTACCAAAAGAATGGTGAGGCACTGGAACAGGCTGCCCAGAGAAGCAGTGGATGCCCCATCCCTGGAGGTGTTCAGGGCCAGGTTGGATGGGGCCCTGGCAGCCTGGTCTAGCATTAAATGGGGAGGTTGGTGGCCCTGCATGTGCAAGGGGGGTTGGAGATTCATGATTCTTGAGGTCCCTTCTAACCCGGGCCATTCTATGATTCTGCAGACTCTTAGGAAACAACCTTAGTCTGTCTGATGCCCGTCTCTCCAGAAGCACAGATCCCCACTGTGCTTGAGGAGAGGACTGCCAGAGCTACTCTACAGACAATGAGTTTAACTAACTTGCAGAACTAAGGCCCTGCTGCCAGGAATAACGTTTGCTGTGAAGGAGCCTACAGCACTGGTGAGCAGCCTTTCAAAAAGGCTCTAATAGTGGTGAATACACATGTATTACAGGCCTGCCATTTACTGAAGATCTAACTCTATTTCCATTTCAATAAGTAAATGAGACTTAATAAAACATAGAAGTTAGAATCTCTCATATTCATGCTACTCTGCTTTGCTGTAATTAAATTAAAGTATTAAAACACTTCAATTCATAATCTTTAGCACAATATTAATAGACAGCCAAAGCCTTGTCATTAATTTCATGCATTGGGGAATTATTCTGATGAGTGCAGATTGATTATCTCCATGAAAGAATGATGAATGTTACAGACTGGAGAGACTGAGATGTTTGGTGATGCTTAGAAGATTCTGCTTGTAAATAAGTGACGATAAAATCAATCACCAAACATAAACATACATAATTTCAATATAATTCATATACCTCCCCACCATTAAGATACTGGTATATTTACCTGAAATTCAGAAAAGAGTAACATAACCTTAATTCTTCTTCCTGATGCATATGAAACATTCTGTTTTTGTTGTGTGGTCCTGAACGTACGGCTTTTATTCCAAAGACATACAAAACCCTGACAGTGACTGCAGAAAATTCATATTCAGGATTTATACTCTTGATAAAGACTGTGCAAGTTCACTATAAACAGCGTGGACAATTCACACAAAGGCATATTGATTCCAGCAATATGCAGATTACAAGAAGTGTTACAAGTAATATTGTTTTATACATGTTGCATTGTTTGAGGAATACTGCAAGAACTTAAAATTGAATGCTGTTTCACCTCACAAATGCAGGGGGAGAAAAGTTAGACCTATGTTGACGAAATCAAGATCACAGTGTGATGTTATAACTCTATTTTTGATAGGTTAAAAGCTTTGCTCAGTTGCGTCACAAGCATTGGGAAACTACTGACAACCTGCTTCTGGCATTCATTCGTGCTACTTAAATGATGTGCTTTTAGTTTTTCATTTTCATTTGCTTTCATTTTTTTTTTTTTCCCTAAGCTGTGTGTGTCCTCCCATACACACTCTGAGGAAATATACCTGGAAAGGTATTTAAACTGTCATTTAGGTCACCCTAATTCAAAGCAGAACATGTAAACCAGAATGTTTGTTCAATCTGTAAATCTATACTTATCTAAACCTAAATCTAAATCAATCCTAAACATATGTCTTTTCCACTAACAACATAACAGACAGGCTATGTTTACAGTGAGATGATATTTTAGGACAGCACAGTTATCAATCAGCATTGTTACAGAGAGGAGGAAGGGCAATGGGATCCTTGTGAGCCGTGAGACTGTGCATGTTCACTTTTTTACCAAAATGGGGAAAACTAGAGCACAATATACATGCTAGGAGGAATTCTTGGATTCCTTACTATGGGACTCTCCTTTATTGACTTTAACTACCATTTCAGGGAAATTAAGACTTTCTGTAGCCATTTCCAACACTCCAAATGTCAATTTCAATAGCTCCTGAAGGGTAGAGTTGTGAGAAGCATTAGGAATTTATGTCATTAATTTATCTTTGGTTGAAGAATAATCTATATTTGGTCAAACACCTAAAGAAAACTTTTATGGGGGATTAACTGAAGGATGCACTGAAGTAAATTGATTGTGAGGTTTCTTTTCTCCAATTACTGTTTTTGTTACAACTCTTCTGTGTTACTAAAGCCCTTGCAGAATTTTGGAAATATCGATTGGAGGATTAGAAAGGAAAAATTCAGCATCCCTGGAATGAAGGGTTAAGGGGAGAGAAAGGTGATATTTTGAGCTCTCTCTAATGCCTGATATACCAGAGATCCCTTTACTTCAACAGGGCACAGCTGTGTCAGCAAAGCTTCTAACAGTGATGCAGAAGATGTCAGAAAAAGACTGTCTGCCAGCGTGATTAATACCAGACTTAAAAGCTCTGTTCTAACAAAGGAGAAATTTTTACACTGTGTTATCTTAGGATTTTGACATGGGAATAAAGTCTGGGGGGTACTCCATTTGACACAGCACTGTAATATTTCACTAGACAAATATTTGGCACTTGGGAGCCCAGTTGCCCTCTGCTTCCCTGTGTCACATCACACCTGATCCCACAACCCCCATATGGGCTCATGGGCTTTCTGCCTTCCTGTGCAAAGTCCTCTGCTCCCATCACGCAGCTCAGGAAATCTGGGCTCAGGCTGCACAGTCCTGGCCCTCTGCATCTTCAATAGCGCTGTGATAACTGGGAGTGTTTTTCTTGTCATCACCTACACGCCAGCAGTAGCCAAATACAATTTTCAGGGTGTAAAATGCAACTCCAGTCAGCACCCCAGAGAAACACATATTTTTGCTGGAAGACACCCTGCCGGTGCAAATGATAACATGCTTACCCTGGGAACACTTCCAGCCATGTATATATTTTATATATATATATGTATTCTCATAAAGGTTGAGAACACAAATAACTGCTCACACAGACAATAAATGAACTTCACAGAAACTCTGAGATGTGATTCATGGCAACTGACCAAACAAAAAAATAATGTCTGCAGAAAGAAAGCGGGAGAGGTTAGATTATTTTTGTTGCAGTGATTATCTTCTCCCTTTCCTAGACCTGATGAGTGAAGATCTTAGAACAACATTATGGGAGAAAAGCTACAGTGAAAGAAAAAAATCAATAGAGCAATCAGACAGCTTTCTGTGATCTCAGGGCTATTGTGCTAACACAGAAAATGAAATTGTTTTCTAAAATACAGTTCGATTTTAACTCTTCCCTTCATTAAAACAAAATTGAAGTGGTAGCATAACGACAGCCTTCTCATAGGAGATGCAAGGCTACCTTTCTTCTTCAGGTACAATTAGTATACCCTGGCCAACAAAAAGAACAATTCAGCATTAACAGTGACAGTTTGAATGTGCAAACTTTGCTGTCAAGTGTTATGGGAATAGTAGCTGCTGGAAGATGGAAAAACATATTTAGTTGCATCTGTGAGCATTTTCTTCAGAGAACTGCGAAATGCTTGAATAAGTCAAGATACATTTCATGCTGGGGATATCATTAAACTTTAGTTCTTGTGGATACATACCTTCCAACTTTCATAGCTCAAACTGAGTATATAAAATGTGTCAGAGGCTCAACAGCAAAACAGTTATTCATGCAAAAACTTTAAAATGCTGTGAAGCTCGTTCCCTCCTTGAAAATAATTATTTGATAATCTCCATTTAGTCTATGTTAGTTATATGAAATGAGGGGATACTATTCCAAAGATTTGGAAATGATTTGAGAAAGATCTCTTGAAATGAGTACATATGATGGAAAAGGAGTCTGTTATGTTTCACATCCAGCTGAAGATAAGCATCTGACTTAACTTACGCTATACAGACCTCTTCTGCAGTAATTTCTTTAATCTATAAGGAAGGTGAGAGTGTTCCCCCAAACATGGGTAATTAAATTGTCTTGGTTAGGTTAAAATGGGAATTGCAAAAGTCCATTTCAGTATTTCTGTATCAAGGAACTGCCCTTTCTTTTTCTCTTACAGTCACTCTGCAAGTAAGGAAACATTAAGTCCTAATTCTAGGTTAAAAGGATAGAGTCTCAATAACTACAAATATTAATAAAAAATCACTGAGGCTCAATTTGTCTTCATGTCCCATCCTTCATGTCCTGAATTATTTCCTGAAAAAAATAATCTTCCTAACTGTTGCAAGGTATTTTAGGGTATTTCTGGAGTGCAAGAGCATAGATAGCATCACGTGGAGGTAGTGTGGGTATGGACCTGGGAATTGGTAGTCAGCCAAAATCAGCTCCTCCAGCTTTTCCTGACATAATACACAGACAGCTACATATTTGAGAGAGCTCCACTAGCTCCCTACCTCTGTCTGTAAGAGTATTTCCACTGCTCACTTCATGTGATTGCAGATTTGATTGTGGCTGCACATGAGGAAGGAGAAGAGCTTGGAAAGAAAGGAGGTAGCAGAAGTGCCTGAAAACAGCTGGCTGGCCTCCTGGTTAACTGTAATTCTCCCCTTTGTCTCCTAATAATCTTACTTTATTCAAGGAAATTAAAGTCTTGCTCTACAAACTTCTGCTTCTGATAGCAAGCACTGATGTTCCCAACACCAAAAGCTAGTGCTTTGGGACGCTTATTGGTGGCAGAGCATTTAGCAATACAAAGATTTAGGGGATAGGACAAAAATATGTATATGGTAAAACTAAGCATTAAAAAATAACTGCAATGAAAGTAGTTTTGGAAATCCTAACACATGCTAAGCAAAGCAAAATATTTTATTGTTAGTACTTAAACAGCACCTTAGAGGATATTAAAGTCTTCACATTATCAATGCAAAGAAAATTCTCAGCTCATATCTGCCATAGTGAAAATGACGACAAAAATCTAAACTCAAGAAAAAACTGGATGCTTAAAGAAGAAAACAACCTTATGATCTCTGCCACACTAAAAGCTATGCTGTTATATGGCAGATTTGCACAAAAAGCAGTGCAGAAATATGACTGCAAATGAAAATGATGCCATAAAAATGCAGGTGTTCTGTCCTTTTAAAAGGTCAGTGAAAGAAATAGAAATTGGCCTTTTAGTGACCATGCAGGTCTGGCCCAAGTCTTGGGGGCAGATCATAAGCAAGAGCTCACTGAGGGGGAAAAAAGACAATCAGGAAAGTATATTCAGAGATTATGTGTGAAATTTGTGAGTGTAGGAAAAGATGCTACTAAGAAAATTGTGTATGAACTAATTTGTGATTTGAGAAAAGCTGAGCTGAGACAATAATTCAGATTGGCAGGGATTGAAATATTTATAAAACTAAGACCGGAGAACAAGGATAATTGACCTCAGAGGGAATGACGGGGAGCTGGCTACTGAGTGCTAGGACCACTTTGATATATTACCATCATTAGTGCTGGCTTGGATCTTGTTCCAAAATAGTCTACATTATTTTTCATTTTTTCCCATCACTTCATTCAAGGTGTCCACAAGAAGTGAGAGAAATAATGATTCTTGACAAAATTATAATAAGAAAATGCTACTGAACTATCTGAGACTGTAGAAGTGCTTTAGCTATTGCTTCTGCATACTCCTCTCTTTCTAACTGTTCCTTTATATGCATTTTGCTCAGGTCCTATAAAGGAATTAAAATGTGTTTAAAATGTCTTCAAAAGAAGAGGCAGATTCTCAGGATTCTCAGGATTCAGGAAAGTAGAACAACAACAAAAAGGTTAACACAAGATAAACTTCTGTGTCCTGGCAAAGATTCAAGCACTGGAAATGCAGAAGTGAGTGGGAAGAATGAGCCAGAGCTGGAGCTATGGAAGGAGATCTTGTCCCACTTAAGCCATATCAGGCTTTGATCGTGTACTTGATGCAGTTGTCTCCTCAGCTACAACCCTAAAGCCCCAGCCTGACAAAACCAGCTTGCACAATCAGCAGCAAGGCTGCCTACATCTAATGGTTCTGTAGAACGTCTTGGGTACTGCAAAAAGAGGAGGGAAAAACCACACACCATCAATATATGGTAATAGAAAAGATAGCAAAATGTTCTTACTTTCCTCAGAAAGATCGTTTTCTTCTGCCTCTCTTTCCATTTCCTTACACCATCCCTCCATTCTCTTAGTTTCAGTATGTAGCAACTTCATGAACCAAGAACCGTCCCGTCGACAAGGAGACATCCGACCAGTCTCTACTGTCTCAATGGCTGGCTCCAGCCAGGGCTCTGGTGGTGGAAGGTTTGACGTGTCAACTGGGGTCCTGTAATCTTCTCTGTAACTGAACAGTCCCTGCGTCCGTACAGTTCTCACTGCGCTGTATTGGGTGGGGGTGCTGGGCTCCGAGTGCTGCTGGAAGGATGAGCCAAACTGAAGTCCCTTGTCCTCCATGGTGATGTGTCCTGGGAAGCCCTCCAGCTCCAGGTCAGCCTGGACAGCTGCTGTCACACTGTTTGAGCGCTTAAATCGTCCATGTCTTGACGAAGCGGGAAGAAAGAAAAGAGGTTAAATAACACAAAGGAATATATGATGATATAGGGGTGCAGAATAATGCTTCAGTGAATGGCTTCTACTTCTATCCTTCTCCTTTATGCTAAATATTTTTTTCTTTGTGCACATCTCACTAAAATAAGACAGAGCTTAACAACATAGAGGAAAAACAAAACGCATTGTGCCACCATTGATCTCAGCAAAGATGCAAAAGAAAATCATTTAAATTATCTCTGGAAGCAAATATTGATTTATTCTCATGCCACGTTATTCTCATTCTACAAAATACCATGTATCATTACTAAATGAACTGGAAATAACTAGCAGAACTGCAGGGTTGCATCTCCTGGTGGAAGACTGTTAAATAAATGTATAAAAACACTCAAATATTAATGATCATAATTTGATAAATTCTGAAAATCTGCTAAATTAGGGCTTTTGAGAATTCTTCAAAAAAGAAAAATATTAACTGAAGGTTTAAGAGTTGTTTTGGTTTTTTTACTTACCTCATAGGACGACCATTAAATGTTAATTTTTTTTATTGCGCTATGCCACAAAAAACATTTGAGAAAAGATTTATTTTAAAAAGTTAGACGGACAAAGAAAGATTATTCGTGAAATCTTTTCACATCTAGACCTGTTGTTTCAAATTACTTCTAGTCAATGATGGTAAAAGGCAATTAGCAGTCAAATGCTATCTGACAGCTGCCGTGAAATGAGATAATGGTCCCAGGCTGGTGCTTAACAGGCAGTGCCTGCCAGGGATAACCCAGTGGGCTGCTACATTGGTTGATAGTGCTACAGAACCAGATCAGGATTGAACAAGTGGAAAGCTGATTCCAGTTTATGATACATCCTAACCCTTGTTAGAAGGACTGAGAAAGCCTAAATCAGCACAAGATCCCAATATACATCTCTTTGTATTTTTTTCTGAAAATATGAAAGGGTATTAATCCACCACTTCAATTTAAAACTTTCACTTCCTTCACTACAATTTAAAACAGTAAAATGAACACAATATTAAACAAGTGTTGCATATTCTCTACAAATTTTGCCAAACGACCAGCATGCAAATAAGAAATTTGGCTTTCTGAATTATTTAGAGGCAGCATTTGCCAGATGTTTGTTATTAACACTGTTTACAAATGTGCTTTTATGAAAGATTACAGATTTTTGTATGCACTTGAATTACCGTTTTTCATCTTCCACTTGTATTCCAACTGAGTGGTATTCCCGCAGGCCTCTGCTCTCAGTATCTGAATCGGTTGCTGTTTCCACCTAATTCAAGAGAAAAGATACATCTGCAAAGTGAGCACCAAAAAGCCAACAATACCCGCCCTTACTTAAAATAAATTCACTTCCCTCTCTTACTGCTAAGAAATATCCAACAATAAATAAATGAGGTAAAATTTGATAGGACAAGGGGAAATGATTTCAAACTAAAGGAAGGGACATTAGATTGCATATAAGGAAAAAGTTCTTAACAATGAAGGTGGTGAGGCACTGGAGAAGACTGCCCAGAGGGGTACTGGATGCCCCATCCCTGGAGACACACAAGGTCAGCCTCGATGGGGCTGTAAGCACCTGATCTGGCTGTAGTGTCCTTGTTCTTTGCAGATGGGTTGGACTGGATGGCTTTCAAAGGTCTCTTCTGATTCTGTGATTCTATGAAATAAATGAGTGTTCAGCCTGGTACCATTGCTTTGGTGCTGTGTTTTATAAATCTCTGCACAATTACTTCTGTTTTGCTATACAATGCTTTAATTCAAACCTACGCAGATGCAATTACTCAGTTCAATGGAAGCAGGGAGTAGGTTTGGCCTGGTAGAGCTGTTCTCAGAATGAAGAATCCAGAGGACGGTACCTTTTTATATTATAGTAAAACAGTCTCTCATTACAGTTAATGATTTACAAAATAAAATAAAAACTCAAGTAGCCCCATAAACCTGCAAGTGATAAAAAGAAATGCTGCAATGAAATTTTATTGATAGCTGCGTTGACAAATATAAAGCCATTTAAATGACATGAAGGATACAGCAGAATGCCCTATCTAACCTTTTTTAATAACATGGTTCCAAAAATGCTGTATCAAGCTAGCAATTTATGCATTTTTATGGTATTCCCATCTGAAATACACTCTCTAAAATACATTCACAGTGCAGCTTTCTTCATGAATGAGACCACATTGCTATTGCAAGTTTCTGTGGGATTTTATATAACATTCCCCACCACCACACCACCTCCAGGTCTCTGACACAGACACAGTGAGTGACGCAGTATGCAAATTGTATTCTTGGATGAAAGGAGAGCTAGGAAGCAGCTAGTGTAGAATGAATTCTTTTTTGAATTAAACATTCACAGTTAAATTAAAAAAATATTATCAGCAAGCAGTTTTTTCAACATGCACAATCCATGGGTGCAGTCAAAGAGTATATCTGATGATGAAAATGAGATAGTTTTTCCTCTGGGAGGAGCCCAACGGCCGTTGCAGCTGTCTCAGCTGCATGGTCCCATCCCAGCAGCATTTTGGAAGGATGCAGAGAAAATGTGGAAGGTGGGTGAGATATGAATGCACATATGGACTCTATATCTGGAAGAAGCCAGCTGCTGGTAACATCTCATTAGATTTTCAAGCAGCAGTTCCATGTACATTCACGTTGAAGGGAGTTCCGGCCAGTAATCAGTGTAAATTTGTATTTACCTGGGTATAGGTATTGGTAATTTTTATGAAATGCAGAAACCCTTTAGCAAAGCTAGAACTGTTCAGTGTAGCATCACACATAGGCTTGCAGAAAGCTCTGGTTACCAGTGGAGTAACTATTATGGGAAAAAAAAACATTTCCCAGCAATTCCATCTATTCTGCATGAATTCGCACTGTTCCCACCTCAGGAATTGCATGGCAGCTAGCTGCATTCACTTGGACAGGCAGCGCACTGAGACAACTGTTCTTTTTAACGTATCAGAGATTTGGTAGCAGTCTCCAAGATTTGGTGTTGTCTGTATAAAAAGAAAGATTCCTCTCATCATCAGCAGAGAAAAACAGCCTCAACTACAGAGGTAGGTGGTTTAGGAAAAAAACACACACAAAACACAAAACAAGCAAGTTAGTTTACTAGTCAAGGTGGGTTTGGCCACCATGTGGGTGAGAAGTTTGAGCTGTGCTTCGAGGGTTATCAGCTTCTGAAAGAACACTGCTACAGGCAGAACAGCCATACAGTCCATTTTCTTTGATCAAGGGATTGCTATCAGAAAATATATTCTTATTTATAGTGTAAAAAGCCCCAAGAGAGTCTCAAATAAATTCAAGAAGAAATCAAGGCTAGGGACTCACCTAGCTCTTTTAGGATTTTGAGTTAAGCTGGGTATAATTTATCTTCTTCATAGAGAATGCTAATCAGAAAATGAGGTGAATTGTGTGGGGACAAGAATGAGACACACCCAGGCATTCCCCCATCCCTCAGAGAGGAAAGTAGGACAGAAGAATATGTAATTTTTATTATTAAACACAGAAAGCACCTAGCAATTTGGAAGGTGAAACCAGACATCAAACGTGAACAGTTAGGAAAAGACTGGAGAAGAGACTGGGTCTTTTTTGCACAACCTCAAATGGCAATACTTCCAACAAAGTCTAATGGCAGTCTTAAGGAGAGTCACAGTACTTGATCATGACTGGCAAGTGTCACAGCATATAAAGGAGGAAAGATATTTTCACAATGAAAGCCCCCCTTTCTCCTTTTCCTTTCCCAGATATTATTGCTAAACATAGCATTGTACAGGATGGAATGGTTCAGGTCAGCTGCCCTGGCAATGTCCCCTCCCCATCTCACCCATCCCCAGCCTCCTGGCTTTCAGGGTGCTGTGCCAGCAGTGCCCAGAAATGAGCAAAACAAAAGTGGTATATCAAAGCTGTCCTAACAATAAGTACATTGCACAGCAGTATATGGGCTGCTGTGGGGAAAGGTATCTCTATCCCAGCCATATCCAGTACTGTCACTATGCCTGCTTTGGGACAGTTAAGACCACGCTGGATTCCATAAACAAGAACAGGTTCCTGTTGAGAAGATCAATTTGGTCATTTGATATTGTTGGAATAAAGTGGGAAAACTGGCAACACACACTTTTCTTCGGTTTTGCGTATCAAAAGCATATCTGCTTTTGCCAGCTATGTTGTTAGGTTTAATAACAGACAGCATGTCTTCCTTTGAGCTCTGCTTCTGAGGTATGGAGGCTAATTTCACTTTCATATTTTGGACGGGCTACTGTCTTTCTGTTGATGTAACGTATCTGGGAGCAGCTCTTTTCATTTGCCTGTTTTCAAGTGCTTTCTTACTGGTATTTCACCTAGAAGTATATTCTGAATAATCCGCCAAAGATGTAATTGACACTTAGAATTAGAAACACAATGGAAGTAATCTACTCTAAAAATTTAGTTGAAACAAAATCATCAGGAAAATGATGGCCCAGGAATCAAGGGCATTATTAGGTACTTCTAAATATAAACTTGTGCCAAATTATCTTTACCTACAGCTTGCCAAAAGTGACACTGACTAAATGACCTGACAATTGCTTTCATATTTTAATGCTTTCTTGTCCTTACTGCTCTTTGTAACAGCAAGAGAATGCCAAATATTATCTTTTTGTGCAATCTAGGACTGCAAATATTGTAACAACCAGGTTAGATTCAAGTGAGCAGAGGAGGAAAAGTCTTATGTTTGGTTTTATTGTATGGCTCCAGAAGCTTAAAAATATTTTACTAGATCTGTTCTTATCTACAATTCATTGTAATTTTAATACTCACATTGACTCTAAAAGCCTTAGTATTTGAAAACTGAGCTACAATCTCAGCAAAATGTGACAAAAGATTTGCCTGTCTGATCACGAGGGAATCTCACCAAGAAATGGAAATAAAAGAAATCACTAGAAAGTGACCAAAAGCAGAAGAATGAGAGTAGCTCTTACCTATCAAGTTACCTTTCCTCTCCTTGAAAACAAAGAATTAACATCTCCTTAGAAATATGGCCCTTTGTTATCTGAAAAATGTTTTATGGGCTAAAAGTATGACATTTACAGTAGGTGTATTAGAGTATTTAGGATAACTTTGTTATTAATTATCTTTCCCAAAGGTAACAAAGCTCTCCACTGTTTTTGCCACCAAAACAGGGAATAGACAATAATATGAAACCTCTATGATCAGTCACTGACTAATCCAGCTCAAAACGTGAAAGTTAAGTGCTGGATACTGGCACTGACTTAGTAAAAATGATCCACGAGCAAATCATACTTACACAGAATTACTCGAATAAATGCAAATCAGTGTTGCAAATAAGTTGTTTGTTACAATCAAACTTGGTTTGTTTATAGGCACTCATTCTATGCAAGGATGTCTCACTGACTAAACTATTCCTGCAAGCATTTGGTAAGCTTTCCTAGCTGATAATTTTTACCTTCTTAAGAGCAATTCTTACTTTTTTTTATTAAAGTATTACTCTGCTCTCGAACTTAAGGACTTCAACATGACATTCCAGTCTTCTAAAAATTACATCTTAAGCTTTAATACATACCATCTCTGAGGAAAGTTCAAAGTTAATATATTCAGTAATTAAGAAAAGAGATTTTAACCTGGTATTTTCTGATTCTCTCTCATAAGCATCAGTAATAACAGTCCTTCAGGCCACATTATCTCTCCCCATGCAATTTGGGTTGCATTGGGAAAACAATGGGTTTTTACTGCCGTAGTCTACATGTTCTATAATTAGAATTTCATAAACAATCTCTCTGATGATGCACAGGAATGACGATAATAATTCTTCTCAGTCTTGCATAGGCTTCTCAGTGATAATGAGTGAAAAGAGTAAGAAAATACTACATTTGATAATAGATCAAGTAAACCCAGTTGTGAATGCAGAAAATCGATTCGGTAAAAAGATCTCATTTGTATGCAAAAAAATGCTTAAAATAAACTGCAGTACTAACAACTGCTGCTTCCATTAACTGAGGGAGCACTTTCATCAGAAAGAAGCATATACTTTTTAAAATACATTTTCAGAAATACACCAAAATATACCTGCGTTTACATACTTATGCGATTTTTTGTCTGACTACAAAGACCCATTCTGCTGTTCCAGTATTTCCCAGAAGAACATCTGGGCAAGTCAAATACCTTGCACAAAACAGTTAAGTGCTAGCTACACAATAATATTGTACAACAGGCTGAAAACTTCTACAGCTCTTTTAAGAAAGCACTTTGTCCTAAAAATGCATGCCAGAGTTTAGAAATGGGATTTGTGTCAAGCCAAGATGAGATAGTAACATCAGAGTAATGCACACAACAGTGATTACTCATAACTTTTTTGGTGCATTTAATACTTCGTGGCAAATTGTTCTGAACCAACAAATGTTCTGGGAGCGTTCTGAACCTTCCCCACTTAGAATGTCTCATTGTGTTAAGTGGCAGTAAAAAAAACGAGCAACACTAATCTGTGAAAAGACTAAACATAAAGATAACTTTAAAACAACCATAGCTGTTTTTTTAACTACAACTTGAACTGCTAAGCTTTTTAACAAATGAGGATGTTAAAATGCAATGACTGGCTGGGAAATCCACTAATGGAATAAGCCTCTGAATTCTGACTCATATATATACATGGGTCTTTAAACTTAAAACCGAAGTCTTCAACTTCAAATGTCAAGTTATGGCCTCTTATCATGGATGCACTTCCTAAACTTTCATTACTTTCTGCAAGCCCAGGACTTCACACACTTATCTTCCACAAAAGTCTGGCAAGTATTTTAAGAAGATCTCAACAATTTTAGGATAACCTCTAAAACTTTGGATCATTTATGATTCAAAGACTGGTGAAATAATGGGAATATTTCTTTTGATTAATATGTGTACACAGCAGGAGAGCGCTAGCAAGAATTTTATAACCTAAACACAGTACAAAGAAAATGTAGATGCTCATCTCTGTAAGAGTGCCAAGTACATGTAGAATGCTATGCCTTATGGGGAAATTTTAGTTTGGTACTTTAGTACTTCTTAAAAAAAGATTTTAATAGAAGATGGTAATGACATTATTTATTTATCTATATACAAATTTATATTCATATATAAAATTATCGAATATTTATTAGATCACTTTATGACACACAAAAAATTAGATGGCTAATTGCTGTACTAATTCTACAGAATAAAGCTTTTTATTTATAAGAACTTGTTAATAAAGAAAATTGAGGGGGAAAAAACAACACCCATAACCCTAGATACTTTGAAGAGTGATCTCTGATAATAAATGAAGATAACAGAGTCTATTCTCTACCATTAGAGTTCATTTCCATAAATATCATAGAATCATAGAATCATAGAATCATAGAATGGCCTGGGTTGAAAAGGACCACAATGATCATCTAGTTTCAACCCCCCTGCTACGTGCAGGATCACCAACCACCAGACCAGGCTGAACTTGTCTCCGCAAGATTTATTCTCACATTGTCTACTTGCATGGTTTCTGATTATTTGGAGAAGTCCTGACATCTCTTAAGTAGAGAAGAAACAAAGGAAGGCATATTTTGAAATATTTGAAATAGAAAGTAATTTCCTGATGTTTTCTCATGTATTTTACTTAGGTGGCTCTGAAAGCAATGCCTCCTATTTATTTCCACTGAAACTACAACAGATATCAAGAACAGAATTACACTATTTGATAGAGCAGATTCTCAGCTACAAAGCGCTATTCTGCAACATTGTCACCACCATTAGTTATGCATTTTATGTTTTTTCTTCAGCACTGAACCAAAGCCTGTATGAAATTCTCATTAAAATCTGCACAGGCATCTGACTTCAATCTCACACTTTTCTTTTGTATGCACTTTCTCGTTAGATGCCATTTTGCCAGACTGCTCCTCTGCTGCTGCCTGTCACATGGCAACAAAATGTGATGGAATATTGGTGGGAAGGTTCATCCCCTACTGCCATAACACCAACATCCACCTCTGATGCCATGGGTTAACATAATAAAACTGGAGGCATTACTTTTGGAGCAGCCCTTGTACAACCCTAATGCTTTTGATTTGAAATGGTCTATAGCTAGAGCATTTTTTGAATATGAATCATTAGCATAAATACAAGGGTATGCTAAAGTATGAAGAATAATCCCTAAAAGTATGCATTGGTAATAACCTTGCTCTTGACTTACTGGTTACTCTGGGCAATCTCTACCCTGCATTTTAATTCAAATACTTTGAGAAGTCTTCAGCTGTCATGACAGAAGACAGGTATGAAGATTACAGTTACTACTATTACTAGAGTTTAATTCTTTATTGTGTATATATTTTTCAGAATGTCAACTATACTTTCAATTCCAGTATCAGTAATTTGCAATTCACTTCAATTTGAGGATCAGCAGTTTGTCTCAAATTCCAGCTGATATATCTGAGAATATTTAATTTATTTAAATATGGTAGCTAAAAAAATAATAAAAAAATCCAAACCAACAGCTTTTTGAAACAGCTCTGTTTCTGAAACTTTTTGTTGTGCAAAATTCTAATCTGGGATAGGGCTAGCATCCCATGAGATGGGTTACAATGGCTGTGTTGTTCTTTGTCCTTGAAAATTGGATGCTACTGTCAATTTATAGTAAGTCCAATGCTTTCCTAGTGAGTTGGGCTCTCTGAGCTCATATATTCCAATCCTTTGGCACCTGTATAGTACACCAAGACTTTACAAAAGGACTTCTGTTCATGACACGCACACTAGGCAGACCACATATCCCAAGGACACAGCAGCCCTAGGCTGAGTCTGCAGCAATGCCACGTGCAGCACTGGTCATTCTTTATGCCTCGCTTTTACTGTGTGAAGTTCCATTGGCAAGCATTCTAACATTAATGTGTTAAAGGAATGAAACATCAAAAAAAGTCCACAAATTAACCACCCTGATAGCAAAATAATTAATGCAAATAAATGCAAATCAAATGCATTACCCTGGCATGGCATGATAATGAGAAAACAAGTCATTTAGTCAATCAAGGAAATATGCAAATAAAAAACATCCTTTTCTGAGGTTCTTTGATGCAGAAGTCTAGAAGAAATAGTTTAGCTGTATTTTGGGGACATAAATTACTATTTATGTGGTTTGCAATGCAGGTACACTACCCCCTGTTTTTATTCTGTTCACACTAAGTGACAATAATATGACAAAATGCATTTCCTGCTTAGAAATGCTGCAGAAAGGTATTTTTCACACCAATGTGAAGTTTGAAACTTACTGCAAAAAAAACCCCAACAAAACAAAACAAAACAAAAAAGCCAAGCAACCTTAAACTAAAATATACTACTGGGATGCTGTGTTAAGACTAACATCACAATTTTAACCTTATCTAATGCAGCAACCAAACAATCTGTACTTCTCACAAGATAACAGCTCATCCTTCTAAGATGCTTGACTATTTTGGTGTGCATATCTGAAGATCAGAATTATGGGCCAGGCCTCAGATGACAACTGATACAGAAGATCTGCTGCCTGCATGTAGATTATTGTGCAAATGTTTTTTGCAGACTACATGCACTTATTATTAAACACACCAAAAAAAAAAAAAAAGAGAGCTGGAGCGGGGTGAAAATTATTGGTCATCACCTGCAGTAAGAAATAGGATGAGAAACAGGACGAAGGGATATGATCAAAGTTCTAGAATTAATTGTTGAAATACCAGGAATGATTGAAGCAAGGCACAATATTGTTAAGTATCGCTGCTGCACACAGCTGCTGTAAAGAAGAGATAAGAAGAACACTAGACACAATTCCCTTCTGAAGAGTAAGCTTCAGGTCAGGGGGTAAAAGTTACTAAAAAGGACTTGCTGCTCTTTTCATCTTTTCACCATTATCTTCTAAGCCCCTTCTCCAAACAATTTAGTATACACTAATTACTTTGTAAAACATTTTAAAATTAGTCATCTGCATATTTTACCATTGCTTTTAAATTGAATTCTGCATGAAAGCAAATGCTTTTATGTTGAGAAATGGGCAAGCAGCTTGCTGACAAAGCCTAGGTATTCCTGTCTGTCTAGTATGTTCTGGAGCAGTGATATTATACTGCACTGTGATATTAAAGTTCAACCAGTAGCTATGGATTGCTTAAGCCAAATATTTTTCTCTGATTTCATCATGAAATCAGTGGAAATGGAATCCCTACTTTTTAAGAAAATAATAATTATTTCTTATAGACTTCTTCATAGATGAATAGTCATTCACTGGGCTTAATTACATGGACTATCACCCTCTCCAGATCTAGGCAATATCTGTAACTATGCCAAAACACATGGCATTTCTGCTACAGTTGATCTCACAAAAGTAGAGAGTCTTAAGGCAAAAGTGGATCCAGTGATTTAAAAGGGGGTGTTCGCACACTTAAAATTAAGAGCAGAGTAGAAACCCAAATTTCCATCCACTTCTGTGTCTCAACTCATTTTTTGTCAACTTCCACTTTCTGTTTTTTATTACTAATTGATAATCCCTAGGTGTTTTAATAAATTGCCACTATGATGTATCCAGTGCTCTCCATTTAATAGAAGAAAGACCAGGCAAAATCTGCACTGGGAAACATTTCATTCACTGGATACAATATCTCATGGGTGAACTTTCCTGCCAGACATTTTGCAAGGTATGATTACATGGTGGACAAATGGAGGAAAACTCTGAGGCTGTCCTTAGTGATGTGAGTTCCTCACAGGGCACCCAGGCCTATGATGTAAATATATCAGTAAGTTTCTTTTTTTTTTTTAATTGGTACCCTCTCCCCAGCAGAACACCTATTACTAAAAGGAGAGTGGTAGGTAGAATTAGGTTCCAGCAGCATCACACATTTTCCAAGGTCAAAAGTGAAAGATAATGGAAAAAATACAGCGAAGCATTTTAAAACGAACATAATTCTATAAAAAGGACTGAATTCATGGAGGGAAGGAGATGAACATGCTGTTCACCTGTAGCTCTGCAGTAAAATTTTCATATCAAGTGCTAATGACAGGTAACCTCCCTAGAGATTTATTCATTCATTTTCTTCCAGGTACAGCATATCAGCTGAAGACTTCCCTGCACAGCCACTTCGCCATGATGTGAATTACAATTAACGCCGAGCAGCCAGGGGTTGTTTGTTAGATTATTAGAGCCGGTGAAGCTGAATGACTCATTCTATGCTACTTAGAGGAAGAAGGCAAGCAATTCATCACCGAGCAGATATTAATGATAGGCTACCTGAATCCCTATGGAGGAACGCCGGCTCTTGAGGAACTCCTCTGCCTTAGTCACCAGGATGGCCTTGTCGCTGGTTCGGATGGAGGCACTCTCCGACATGTGGCGCTGGGCAGCTGCAGTCTCCAAGGCGAGGTTCATGGCCTTGTTGCTGTCCAAGCTGTCTGTGGAGTTGTACATCCCTCGCCCATCCTGGGGCCACGGGGACATCCGCTGGGCCCGGCTGTCATGGTATGCATCCTGGGTGGACTCTGTGCTGCTCTGGGCCGTCACTGAGATCAGTGGCTTGGATGTGGTACGTGGGGGTACCGGTGGTGGGGTTTTTTTGTAACTTGTGTAAGTTACAGCTACGGAAAGAACAAAAGGAAAAAAAAAGGGGTAGAGGGGAGATGGATTGGGGGAGAAGAAATCAATATTAACCAGATGGAAAATTCACAACATTTTCACCGTAACACTAAGGTTATTCTACTGAAGACAGTGCAACATAGTGCTCCTGGTAAACCTCACTGTTTAGTCAGACATGTATCCATAGCAACATTTCATTTCAAACAGGTGGCAACGGGACTCCCATTACAGAGAAGATGAAAGGGAGTGAGGATGTGTGTATCTGTCTGACCCTCAAGGTTGGGTTGGGTAGGACCTGTGGTGCTGTCGGGGTGGCTCACCAATGGATAAAACTGATGAGAAAAATAAAGGGAGAGGTTTTTTTCTACTCTCAGTCTGAACTGTGTCCCCGTTATTGATACAATCCATTAAGAAAGTAATGGCAAGGCAGTGGAACAGAGCAGAAACTTCTACCTCATGCCACACTTACTCATCTATAAGTATTTCCAGTAGTACTGGCTTGTTGGACAAGAAGCCTGTCTTTTAAAAATATTCAAGATTTGAAGAAAATTCAGGCATGTAAACATTTTCATAATATCTGAAAAGCTATCAGATACTTGTACAACAAATAAATATAAATAATACCCAAAGCAGTGACATTCTATTCGCAATCCTGCAGCAAGCCTTAAATCCTTAGAATGTACATTGAAGAAGGATAGATTCAAATGCAGAGAATATGGAAATGCAGATATAAAAATTGGCCTGAAACACTGAGAGAACTGGATGCAAATGAGCAGAACTAAGAATTTTAGCACGATGAGCAGAGCAGGTCTAAAACCGCTTTTGTGTGGATCCTATCTTGAAGTAGAAGGGCCCATAACGTATTCAAGGGAGCTATACAGGATGCAGGATTCAGCCAATATTGTCTTCTTACAAAATCTTTGAAATTTCATAGAGATAGATAGTGATTAATATCACATAGTTATTTTATCACAGAATTATAAAATGGTTTGGGTTGGAAGGGTCCTTTAAGACTATCTAGTTCCAACCCCCCTGCTATAGGCAAGGACACATCCCACTAGACCAGGTTGCTCAAAGCCCTATGGTATCTTATTGCCTAAGCCCACTATACTGTGTTTGTACTAGTATAAGCACTTCTGTGATAAAAGCATTTTTACTGCAAAGCACATACAATCATAGAATTCATAAAATTAGTGACTGGTACAAAATTGCATTGTAATATGCTTTTTTTCCCCACATTCCTGCACAGGAAAATCAAGCCCAGTTCACATCCCATATAATTAGAGGAAAGAAAATTATTATCTTTCCCTATATAAAAAAAAGCTGAAGTAGCACACACACAGAGATCAATATAAAGAATGATTAAACAAAAAGGTTTGCCTTTTTCAGGTGTCATTAAATGCACTGGATGTTGCGAGGATTACTTAGTTAACCTTGGATTTGGGTTAATTGAGTCCAACAGGGATCCTAAAAATGTTCCTGCTATACAGACATGAGCTGATGAGCAGTGAAGTCAGAAGCAGCACCTTTCCAGTTGTGCTGGAACAGGAGGCTACACTTCAGCTCTCTAGAGGGAAGAAGCAGCGTTAGGAATTTGCTAGTACCTGGGACTGCTGAGCCTGAATCACCAAACAAGCATGTGAAAAACTGAGCCTAGAGAAAGACGTTCTGAAATTTTGATTCTTATAATAATAATATATAATAATAATAATAATATATTAGAATTATAATATTATAATATAATATAATAATAATAATAATAATAAGATAATAATAAATAAAATGGTGATCATAAATAAAAGAGAGTGAGGCAGAACTAAGAAGTGAAAATCTTCATTTGAAGCACGTATGGAATTACTACTGATGCAGCTCAATTCTGGTAGAGATTTAAAGAGAGTCTTGCTCTGAGCTAAATTGCTCTACCAGTGAGAGCAAGCTCTTCAGTTTCAGGGATGGTGTGTGTTTTTGAAGTGCAGTTTTATTGTCCTATCGCAAATCTTATCTCCTGTCAGTTTTGTAACCAGCAGTTAAGAAGAAAGAAAAAAACAATATTTTTCCAGCCACTTTAGGGAATACAGAAAGTTCGTGAAAGAAGGGAGAGGCTGTAAAGTCGAGAAATTAAAACAGTGTCTTATGAGCATAAGCAATGCCTCTAAGAAATGTTTCCACTAAGTGAGTTACTGTAATACTGTTCCCTCCCTTCCCCCTGCAAATGTAGATGCAAGTATTCAGAATGCTGAACTGCTTGCTGAACTGTTAGAAACAGAAAAAGGGATGAAATGGGTTCAGGGAAATCCTGAAATAGAATTTATTTTTATCTATAGCATAAGACAAATTGTCAATGTTATAACTAGTTTACTGTTTTTTTACCAACTGTCTTCATCCAAAAGAAGAGCAGAATAATGAAACATATGGTGAATGTGATACTGAAACATCACAAGGAAATGTATCCTTGCTGCTTATCTCTCTTTTGTCTAATCAACATCAATGTGAAAAATGTTAAAATTGTGTGGCAACCCTTCATAGCTACTTAACTTTTGTTTACATTTTTTAAAAAGAAAACTATTTGAAAGTCTGAAAATCTGTGAAGAAACTGCATACATATTCGCTGTTAAATATGGCAGAAAGAAATCTGATTAATTTCTAATTTTAATTTCTTCATTGAGATCAAATATTGAGAAGGGAATAAAAAATCCATCTCTGCACAGTTAACGAGTTCATATCTGGAACAACAGTTTCAGAGTCACAGAAATCTGGGACTAATTGGAAACTAACAAAATCAGGTAAGGGGATGGAGGCATGAATTTGCAAGGCAAATCTTAACACCAAATTCTATTTGTTTCAATCACTCAAGTGATTCCATAGAAGTAAATGAGATAACTTAGATGAGTAATGTGATCAAGACTGGTCTTAGATAAACTGAGTATGTGTCACTGGCTTAAGGAATAACTAATAAATTAGGAGAGGGCTATAGGAGATAAGTTGTCTACTACTCCATAGGTTACTGGTAATGCCTGTTCTTATGCCTCTAATAAATAATTGTATAATGGTCTGAAACATGAAATTTTACATCACTTTCAAGTTCTATTTTTATTTTTTTAATTTATGATTAATTATTACATCAGTGAGTGTTTCCATTATCCTGCAGTGTCTTTTTGGATCTGCTTCTGACAGTCACAAGCACCATATACTATACATTAAAAAAACCCAAACAATACCTTTTCCTAATAGGAAAGGAAATTCCTTTCCATCACTCATCCCTTTCTTATGCTGAGGGAGAGGAGCTCATGTCAGCCTTGCATGATTTGCAATTTCGCAAATTTAATCGGCCTTAGTGGTTATTATTTGGAAGTAAGCACATGAAGCCTGCTTGATGTTTTGGTCCGCCAGCCTACAAACACCACAGTGTCCACCCCAGCACTGAGCGCAGTGCCTAAGTCCATCTGGGGAACTGAGGCAGGAAACCAAAGTGGAATGATGAAGATGGAGAAGGATGCTTGTCTCCAGTCACAGAAAGACAAACTGGGAGTCAGGGCCAGCACAACAGCTTGGGAGGAAATACAGCATGAGAATGGGGAAGCAGGAGGGCAGAATGCCTCTCTATGACTTTAGACTGATTTCAATTGTGGACATCAGCTTAAGCAGAGCTTTGTATTTTGACATACATCAGTCCTGGAAAATATCAATCCTGGATAATCTGTTGTTTCTGTGGCCCACAGAACCTGACCTGAGATTGCTGATTTTGTTACTTTTTATCACTATTTTCTGAGGAGGCTTGGTGGGCCCTGCTGATATTTTACCAATGCTAAGGAATGAGGCTCAGGAAAAGGAAAGCACCATTCTGCTACACTGTTAATCAATTTGTAATATCTGCAGCTGCTCTGAAATGCAAAGATAAAACGAGTAGACAGAACAAAACGTATCTTTTTAACATTTAAACATAACACAGAAGGAGTTATGAGAAAGAAATTGAATTTTCCTTCCTGTTGTATTCAAAGGCTGTCTTAATATAGAAAGCAGAATTTATTTTTTTGCCTTGTTTAATAAAGCAGGAAAAATTATTTTTGGAGATCAGAAGATACAGTCTGTCTCCATCTGTTAGCTAATAATTGTCAACAATAACGACAAAAATGGTCAAAAACGTTTTTCTAATTCTAACTGTAAGGATATTTCAGACTCCCATTTGAACCAAAGCACTAACTGTTCAGGCACTTGCTTGACCTCAATATAAAGAGGTGCAATCAGCTCCACTGGATTTTCCTTCATGTACACTGCTAGACAAATGGAGAGAAAAGAAAATGGTTCTGTGTTGTTGCACAGAATAGAGGGCCAGAAAAAAATGAAGATGAAAACCAATTTCCTGATAATTCTTAACTAACTTGAAGTTTTCATTTAGTTGATACACCTGCTGTTGGGTATCCTGCTGAATCTGCACTGCATTTGACTAAAGCTGTGTTAGGCTGGTGTTGCTACAGCCATAGAAATAAGTCAGTTTCTCAGTCCATATTTCAGTGCAAACACAGCTTGTATTAGAAATAAAATGACTAAAATCATTCAGTTCAGATATAACTTCAGATTATCCGTAGAGATTCTGAGACAAAAGGCAGAAGTAGAGACTTGACGTGTCTGATGAAATATCAGTGGCTGTAGGTGACATTCAGAACACCTTTTGAAAGACAGACTTTTAATAAATCACCGCTGTTGGTCCATTTACCAGATATAATCACCTGAGGGGTTGTCACAAATCAATATAACCACTAAGCACTTAGTCAAAATAACATTATTTAGGCTGAGATCACAAAGTTAACTGGATGATGAATTTACATGAAAGCACCATCAATTAAAAGGAACAGTTGTCCCTTGTGACACACAGCAGGAGTAAACTGGATTTTCTGTTTTGTGAGAAGGTTTATTCAGAAGGAGGATAATTGCTCTGCAGGGAGCATGGAGCTGTCCTGGAGGCAGAGCTCCCCAGGGCACACTGCTGCAGGCAGCCTGGGCC